GTGTGATGTCACATTGGTTTACAAAATGAGGTTTATAAATAGCAAAGTATTTTTTCAATTGCTGCCTCTTCAAACTCTTATATAATCATAAGTTGTACTTAGATTGAATAAGAAATGCTGTTAACTCTTATGTTTCCTGGTTTTCGTTTCCTGCATATCTCTGTGCTATCACTTGGAAATACTATAATTCCTGATACACAGTTGTAAATGGAAATTGTCACACTTCTAAGAGAGCTCCAATCTCACAATCTATTAACTCTGCATGAGAAAAGCCATGTTTCTGCATGAGAAAAGATACGTTGATCAGCCATCTCTTCCTTACTCTTTTTTGTTGTTGTTATTTGGTGTTTGGGTTTTTGGTTTTTTGTTTTTTGTTTTTTTAGATAGGGTCTCCCTTTGGCTTCGAACTCACTATGTAACCCAAGGTGGCCTTGACCTCACAGTGATCCTCCTACCTCAGCCTCTGGAGTGCTGGGGTTATAGGCTTGTGTCACCATCCCCAGCTCGATTTGCCTAATTGCATGGTTTTTCAAACTCCCTAACATTAGAGACCTCTAAGAGTAAATTAAGTGAGCACTGCTATTTGGCTTCAGATTGGGGTATATAATGCTGCTTCTGTACCTACATGATTCACTGTCTGATTTTTTTTTTTTTTTTTGAGTGGCAAAACCTTAAAAAATAAATTCTTTTAAATGTATTTGGTATAGGGTCTCACTACACAGCTTGGGATTATAGGCATGCACCACCACTCTTGGACTTGGTTGCTGGCTCAGCTTGCCTGGGCGTGTGGCCGGTGCAGGATGTGGTACTGGTGATTGAGCCTCGGTACTAGCGCTTGCCTAAGCAGGCACTTAGTCTGCTGAGCTACCTCGTCAGCCCAAAAAATAATTTTCAGATACCACTATTGAGAAACAGAGAGAAATGAAAGTCTGGTGACAGAGTTAACCCAAAAGTTTCAAATGGAAAAACCAGACACAGGGGCTGGTGAGATGGCTCAGTGGTCTAAAGCACCTACTTAGAACAAGTTTAGCAAAGCACAGGGACCGCGGTTCAATCCCCCAGCACCACGTGCCAGCCAGCCCCGCCCCCTGGTGGGCTGAGCTGGCCACACACATACATACACACACACAAATAAATAAATAAATAATTTTTTTTTAAAAAAAAGAAAAACCAGACACAACTTCTTTTCTCAAAAAAACCTACTTAAATTGAATTGTGTGTGTGGGTGGGTGGGTGTAACCGGGGATTAAACTCAGGCCCTTGTGCTTGCCAGGGAAGCACTGATTCTACTGAGCTATCTCCCCAGTCCCTAATTTTTTTTTTAATCTAAGGTAGATTGACATTGTATTATGAACAGTATCATTTCTTTTTTTTAACCTATAGAACACAATACCCTCTATTTAATATATTGTATTTTATTGAAGTTTCTTGGTTAAGGACAAGGTGAGCTTAAATAGGTAAAGCTCAGAGTTTCAGGGAAACCCTGGAACTAATCTTCATGATAGCTGTAATGGTAAATTCACA